TAAGAGTTGCATGAGCCCCCAATAAAATGATTTTTTTAAAGGAGTACAAAACATTGTGTTTGCAGATGAGTGGTACTGTGGGTTAGCCAACATGATGGGGTTCCTGACAATTCAGAAAGGTCTAGGCAGGCACGATATGAGGCAGAGGAGCAGATCTAAGAGGGATGAGGTGGGAAAGAACTGTCGGGTAAGAGGCTGTGACAAATTACAACGGACAGAATTTTGACTTTGTAGGGTGAGAAGGGGCCCGCTTGTGTATGTGACTGATTGGCGAATAAGACCTTTGGTGTTTGGGAGGTCAACGATGCTGTCCAGGAGCTCCACAGAATTTCCTAGGTAAAGATAGAGGGGGTGTAAAATTCAAGCCATCAAGTTAATTATAAAATCTGAAGCTACCAGTAAGGGTGGCAGTCAGAGTGGAGCTTTCAAAACACTTGCTGACCTCAGATTCCTGGATGCCAACAAGGGGGCATAGGGCTTATTTTCAAGTGGTGTTATGAAGAAATTCCTATGTGATATGTTCATGGAGTATGTAGAATGAGATCAGGATGAACCTTCTCAAGTAAGCGTCTTCCTCAACCTTCATAAGAAAATTGGGATGTTCGTCAATAACCCTTTTCTGTGCTTCCGCGGAACCACCACGCAAAGGGAAGGTGGGTTGTTCTAGTCTGTGTCCAAGCATTATGTCTGAAATCCATTATGTGCCATGTGGCTGGTTTTTCCCATTTCTAGTCACTCGAGTTTGACCATTTCACTTTGTTTTGAAAATCCAAGCCAATTCCAGTGACCAGGGTGGTGCCCTGTTCTAATGTCAGGTCTCTGGCTGGTTCTGATGGGAAAGCGAAAGAGAAAGGGTTTGGGGGTTGGCTGCTCCCAGGATGATGAATGCCTACAACCGCTTCTGCGAAATTGACTCCCGCCCTGTGTATTGCAGGTGATATTTGAATCCGTCTCTTTGAAGGGTCATCCTGGCTACATCGCTGTGGACGAGGTCCGGGTCCTCGCTCATCCATGCAGTAAGTCCGTTACCTCCTCCCATCGCAGCCTCACTCTGCGCTAGCCCACGGAGCACAGAGGCTGCAATCCACCCTATTCATTCCGCTCGCAAACATCTCTTGCTCTCGCTCCCTTTTCATCCTTCAGAAATGCTTACATACCCAATGCAATCAGTCCTGAATAAATCCATAATTTTGCCAGCCTGTTCAACAGGCTGCACCTACCGGAATTTGCCGAGAGTAGCAAAACATCTTCGTTCCCATCTCTCTCCATTATTAAGAGTCTAAAGTCCTGATTGTTTATTAGTGGGATTCAGACCACTGAAGTGGAAGAATTAGAGGGCTTTGGATAGAATCTTGTGCAATTCAAAAAGAGCACCACCAAAACACGGAGCAAATTAGCACTCTGTTCACTCACAGGGAAAAGGACCCCAACGTTATTAATTCCTACAAGAGAGATTTAGAATCACTCCTCACCCGATGTAGGGCGTGGGAAGAGATTTCTCATAGTGGGTAGCATTTACAGTGCAGTGTCAAGGGTCCTCATGGTTCCACTCCTCTGTGCCCATCCATTTTCCCCTTGAAGTTTCCTCGTGGCTGTATTGAAGCCAAGATGCTTGCGGATGTTTCAATAGGGAGCTGTGGATCTTGAGTTCATGAAGTCTCAGAGGGGACATGACTTTGGTGTAGGTCGGTGGAATGATGCCATACCTATTGATACTGATAGCAAGGGTCTGTGGGAGGTGGGGGTGATCCCAGGGGACCTGCCTGAGGATGATGGTCCCAATGAGTGGGGCTAACCGCGATGCCAGCTCAGGTTTGTTAGCATTCTCAAGATTGGAGATCCCACTGGTGGCCTGGAAGATACCTTATCCTAGGTAATCCCAAGGCACCCATGTCGTTGTTGTGTGCTGTTGAGCTGATTCCAGGTCATCCTGTCGGACAGAGCAGAGCTGCTCCAGAGGGTTTCCTGGGCTCTAATCTTGGCCAGAGCAGACTGCTAGATCTTTTCTCCTAGAGAGAAGCTAGTGGCTTTGGACTACCATCCTTTCAGTTGGCCTCTAGTATTTAACTACTGCACCACCAGAACTCCATAACCCTAAATAGCCATCGCTATGTATAGCTATGTATGGGCTGTGCATAGCTTGCTACAGCCTCAAGAAACAGCATACCTATTCTCTCACCCTTTTCCTTCAACTCTCCTATTCTCAGTTTGGCTCAATCACAATGCTTTAATGACAAGGACTCTTTCCACTTCTGCTGCGATGGATCTGACAGGTCCACAAACACCATTTCCTTCCCCAGAACTAAAATGCTGTTGTCTGACTCATTGTCTTACAGCATCTTCTCTGCTGCAATTGTAGGCCATTACGGGAACTGCATTTTATGTTTGTGCAAGAGATATCCTTACTTGCTAGAAACCAGCTGGTATCCCAGAAACGAGCTCATCCTACTGGATTCCCTGTTGTGGTGGTTAGACCTATTTGCCCTCTGGGTTCTAACGGAGGCTCTCGGGTGATCTCAGGTGCCTGTCTAGTCTATTATGCCTGAGAAATGTCTCTGCTGTCCCAGACCTTATGCAAGGAAGGACCTAGAAGGACCCCCCTGCAGAGATTCAGGGTTATAGTGCCTTTGCAGTTGCGTCCCTTCTAAGGATTTTGTTCTCGCTCTTTCAATACCTGGGATTTATCATCAGTGGCCCACTGGGGAATGATCATTGGCCCATGACTGGGCATCTGTGTTAAGAGATGTGTCTCCCACCCATGGTCTTTGGAAGCTCACCTACTCAACCATGCTATCCATGAGTTTAAGACAGTCTCCGGACCAAGTCTTTCCCCTTCCTCTGGTCCTGCACACACCCATCTCTATTTCGTTGGTGCCTCATTGAGGGGCCTACCGCCATTTCTGCTTCTTATCCTATGCTTGATATGTGGCCTGTGCTTTTCATGTATGTGACCCTTAGCTTTTCTCAGGAGATTCTGGAAGATTCCTAGGAGAACCTGGCTGGAAGAATCACTCCTTGGATCACAAAAGTCTGTGTTATGATGAGAATCTTAAGCTCTACTATGCATCCAAACTATTTCTTGTCTCAGCCCCTGCCACCTCTTAAGACCAGCTTGTTAAAAGCTCTGTTTTCCCTTGTCCCTAGGTTGGCCAACCCTCCTCCCTTCCCCTACCTCCCACAGGAGGAAAGCGTAAAGAAATAGAGGAAAGAAGTAGGAGGCAAAGGGCATACATACAAGCCTAAATACAGACATGTACATATGTAAATAT